TCGGACACTTAACCAACTGAGCCACCCAGGTGCCCCAACAATTTCTTCTTTGGACAAATGCATTATTAACTGATTGGAAAAAAACTTATTTAAATCTTATTTTACAATGTCTGTCTTAGTTAATATGGATGATACTCAACAATGAAACATGCTGTATATGTGAAGAAGTTACAGAAGAATTTAAGACAATATAAAGCAATACTAAAAAGAATAGTAAAGGCAAGTGGTAGGAATTTAGAAGAGCAAAATGTGGAGAACAGAGGTCAACTTCCAGGGATATTAACTTGCACTGATTGTACGTTTAGTAGAAGTTGAGTGTGAATGAGTAGAGATGGATAGTTCCTTCTTTATGTGAGAAAACTGAATAAGAGTTACATAGCACATTTGTTAGGTCCCACATAATAGGACTTATGTTACCAAAAAAATCCTTAAAATGTTAATTGAAACATTTTCAGACTTTGAGTATGTTTATTGGTGTTACCAGTATTACTGTTTTAGTTAGAAGCTAGTGTAAAAGTGATCAAACCTTGGAGCTTAGTGGAGACTTACTATCATCCAACCTTTAGATTTGAGGATCACATTCTTTTTTTTTTTTTTTTTAAATATTTTTTATTTATTTCTAGGGGAGAGAGAGAGAGAGAGAGACAGCGTGAGCAGGGGAGGGTCAGAGAGAGAGGGAGATACAGACTCTGAAATTGGCTCCAGGCTCTGAGCTGGCAGTCAGCACAGAGCCCGACGCGGGGCTCGAACCCACGAACCGCGAGATCATGACCTAAGCGAAAGTCGGACGCTTAACCGACTAAGCCACCCAGGCGCCCCGAGGATCAGATTCTTAAAAGAAGTAACTTTATTTTCTTTTGCTGTTATCTACTAACCAGCCACATATTTGTGAGTAAGAGGAAAATAGCTATTCCCACCAGCTAGTTCAGATCTCTGGGAATGTGGTTCTGTTACCTTCATCTGCACACCACCCTGCCCCACTCGGATTTTGTTGAATAAAATTGTTTGAAGTATTTAGATTAAAAATAACTATAAACCTGATATGGTAAAAAAAAATTATATTAATGGTTACTAGATTTAAGAAGATCTAGGCTGCTGGGGCCTTTCTGCAGAAATATTTTATTTATCTTTCCATTTTGTATTTTGTGTGAACATTTTTCTCTCGGCTTTACTCCTGTTATTCACCTGTTTCCTAGGAAAATCTTACAGATGTGGGAAAAATCCCTTAGAAATGTGAATCTAGTAAAAACTGATTTCTAGAAAAATAGTTGGTGGTGCAGAAGACTTTAAATAAAAACTTTCTGATACATGGAAGGACTCACTGTTATATTTATCTAACTAGTGACTTCTACTTCATTGGAAAGAGGTTTAACTTTCAGAAAGTTAAAGGCTCAGCATTTCACAATATACATATTAGGTAAGGAAAGAAACACTTGTTTATTCTTTGCAAAAAACATATCTATGGCATGTAATAAGTTCTACAAAACTATTCTAGGCCGGTATTGATGGGCATCTGAATCAGTAGTCATTGGATCTATAGGTTAAATTATCTTGATATAGGACCCGACGCTTTTAATATCAACAGCCTTTCCCTTGGTTCTCTATTTGTATATTATGAAAATATCAAGTAGAAATTTTTCAAAAACAGCATATCAGACATAGAAAGGATATTTGTTTTGGGGGGCAAGCTTTTTTAAAAAATAAATTACATTATATGAAGAGTAAGAGTAAGCACTCATGTTCATTCATAAAAGCCGACTCAGCACCGAGAACACAAGAAGCAAGCCAGAAATAAGCAAAATATGTCATCAAACCTCCAGAATAAATATATGCATTTAGGTATTTAGAAAAGCCAACTTTTCTTCCTATGTTTTTACTATGCATATTTAAAAAACACTTTTTTAACATTAATTCGATTTTGAGAGATAGACTGAGAGTGGGGGAGGGGCAGAGAGAGAGGGAGACAAAGAATCTGAAATGGGCTCCAGGCTGTGAGCTGTCAGCACAGAGCCCCACACAGGACTCGAACCCGGGAGTGGTGAGATCATGAACTGAGCCAAAGTCGGACGCTTACCCACTGAGCCACCCAGGTGCCCCTACTATGTGTATTTTAACTTAGTCTTGACCATGCAGTAATACAATTTAGACCTTACTTTCCCCCTTTAGTCCTGTATTTTCTCATGACATTAAAAACTTATTGTTTGTACATTTTTAATGAATGTTTAGCACTTCATTATGTGAACATACCATTGTTCATTAAACACTTACCCTATCGCTGGGCAGTTATGTTAATCTCAAATACTCTCATTGAATCAATTACAAAGACACTTTCACAAATGTCTTCTATATTTAGATTACAAGGGTAGGAAATGTACAAGATTACAATTTTTACTGAAAATGATGTTAGTTTTTAAAAAAGCAACACACAGCCAAATTGTTTGTAAAAAGGGTTGTACCAATCTTCACTCCCGTTTGAAAAGCATATGAATACAAATTTATCATTCTGTAGTAGGGGTTCTCACCTTTGGCCACATATTAGAATTACCTAAAGAGCTTTAAAAATGTTTAATATCCAAAAAAACCCCATCAGGATTAAATCATAATTTCTGAGGGTAGGACTCAAGTATATGTACTTCTTAAATTTCCCCAAGTGATTTGATAGGCCACCTATGGTTGAGAACCACTCCTTAGAGTAATATTTTCAAGCTTGCCTTAAGGGCACCCAGGATAGGGGTGGGAAATTTCTGATTCCCAGGTCCTTACTACTGTAAGCCAAATGAATCAGAATTTTTGTAAGTGGCTTCCTAGGTCCATCCACTGGGACTTTGCTCTGGTAGGTCTGGGCAGAGTCCTATAAATTTGTATTTTTAGCAAGTCCCACAGAAAATGCTGTTCTTGAGCACCAAATATTATGACTTAAAAACATTATCATTGCAATTTGATAAGGAAAAAATGGTACCTTGTTTGAAATTACATGTTCTCACTGTGGACGGATAACATTTTCAGGTATGTGTTATGGAACTGTGTGCCCTCCTTTATACTCTTTAGGTTCAGATTCAGGTCCTTTGTCCATTTCTCATTTGACATTTTATCGTTTGTATTGATTTACTGATTTATAGTAAGCCTTCTTTATCAAATATATTAACCGTATATAGGAAATATTTATAATTATTTTTCCAGTTGATTTGCCTTTTAAATTGAGCCATATTCTCATTGGGTATGTGGAATTTTCATGCATCAACATTTTTATCTGTGATTTCTTTCTTTGCTTTATTTATTTAATTTTTTTTAAAGGGGAAAGCACATATTTATTACATCAGAGAAAGTTCTTTCACATAAGACCCACCTTAAGGACCTAGGTTCGGGCAGGTGTCTAACACAGCTGCCTTGGGGAGGTGGCTCACTGGGGACGGACACTCCAGCCTGGCTCTGCCTTAATCTTATAGAATGCTCCCATAACATCTGCCAAGGCATTGAACCGGGTGTGAAATTGTTGCAAACTCTTCTATAAGTTTTTCATCTAATAAACAGTCTAGCGTTGCTATCATAAAATTAACAGGTTCCCTAATAAAAGATAACATCTCCATTTTATATGTAACATCAGACAGGATTGCTTTCTCCTCCTCACTAGGTGCCAGCTACAGGAAAGCTGTTCTGTCTTGGGTTATATACATTATACACCCATCTACCAGAAGACATTTAGGAATATCTCCCCCAGACCCCAACAGGAGACCTTTCACATCCACCTTGTAAATTGCTGACCATCCATTCACACTGGCAAACACATCTAAGCTCTCATTCTTTTGGTCAGCCATAAAAGCTTAGCATACAGAAGGAAGTAAAATGAGATAAAATAAATTCCTATTAATACATAAAACCCACCTGGACTATGAGAAATAAGCTAGTCACAGAAGGAAGCGGCAAATACAATGGTAGTTGCCAGGGGCCAGGGCATGGTGAAAATGCGTGGTTCAATGGGCACACAATTTCAGTTACTCAAGATGAGTAAGTTTTAGATATCTGCGGTTAAACATAGTGCCTATAGTTAGCAATAATGTAATGTGCACTTGGGAATTTGCTAAGAGGGTAGATCTAATATTGAGTTTTCTCACCACAAAACAAAACCCAAAAACCGAAACAAAACAATGCAAGAAAACTGTTGAGGGGGTTGGATATGTCTATTACCTTGATTGTGGTGATGATATCATGGGTATTGTTATAAGTCCAAACTCATCAAATTGTACACGTTAAATATATGCAGTTCTTTGTATGCAATTATACTTCAATAAAGTTTTTTTTTTAAAGAATGAATTAGTTGTCTGAGAGATAGAAAGAAGAATGTCTTCCAGAATTCATTGCAGAAGGAAAAGCAGCCTGAAGTGTTTTGCATGTTAGCCCCTTACCCTATCCAAAAAAATTATCTGGTTATCACTCCCATGAGTAAAGCTACTATCTGCTATGTATTCAGGAAGCTATGGACTAAGGAGGGATTTTTTTTCTTTGCTTCTAAACTTAGAAACTTTTTCCTCATTCAGAATCATATTTATATGCTATTTTTTATTTTAAAAACATTTTAAAAATATTGGTATTGCCTTACATTTAACACAATGGTCTATGTGGAAGGCGTTCTGGTACAAGGTAAGTTTGCCCCCACCTTAACTAGTCCATTACTAGGTAAATAATAATACTGACAAAGTTTTAAAATTTATACTTGAAATAAGGGATTTCAGATATTGATTTCTTTACAAGACAAAATATTTAAACTTTCATGTTTAGTGAAATATTCAAACCTTAAGTTTCCAAAGTATGAAAACTGCATCTGTCTAGTTTATCTTTTGACTTTTGCATCGATTTTCTTAAAGGTAGGTAGTTCAGAGGAAAAACAGCCAGCAGTAAATAAGAAAAAATAAACCAAGTGCTTGCGCCTTCCTCTTTTATTTAAATGCACTCCCTGGATTTCTACCTGATGCCATCTGGTGACTGTTGACTTCTTCCTGTAGGAGGAGAGTGAACCCTGTCCTTGAGTCAGAACCTCCTGCCAGGGCACAGGCATGTGGAAGAATACAGTGAGTAGCAGCCATTACGTTCTCATCTGTTAATACCTTTTTACAGTCATTGAAATAAAGGTCCAGGAAAAGCATGTAATAACTCACCCCCACGCTTGATTAAAAAGCCCTGACCACTGAACTTGCAGAGGTTTTCAGAATGATACATTGTAGACCTATAGCATCCTATTTTTAGATGTGCAGCATAGGCAATTTTTGCCTCCATGAAATTTTTGTCATTATTTCATCCTGATTTTCTGCCCACTCTTTAAAGCCTGTGTGATTTAGATTTTAAAGTGAAAAAAGCACCGAGCTGCATAAAGCCTTTTAGTGTCACTGGTGCATCCCTTCCCACATTAAAGAAACAGGACTTGCACCAGCCTCAAAGTGGAGAGAAGCAGGTGGCCACAAGGACGCATGAAAGATGCAATTTCTCCAATTTCTCAGCCTCAGCTCAGTGACTCCAAGGCAGGATTTCTGCAGCAATGCTAAAGATTATTAAGTTAAATGAAAACCCCTTAAAGAGTATAGAGTCCTGTGTCTTACCTATTAAACAAATCCCATCAGCGATGCCTGGTGGCCCACTGACAGAAGTTGCTTCTCATTTCTGGAACTTCATTTTGTTATTCACTGAAGACAGGATCTAGAATATAAACATGCACGTTTTGGCTTTCGTTTCTTCAGTTGTGCTGGACACACACTTCTGTGAAAGAGGACATTGTCCCCAAAGTGAATCTGACTGAAATGACCGGAGAAGACATTTCCACCCTGTGAACTTCACATCTTTTTCTGGAATGACCACTCTTCCTTGTGCAGTGTGTTTCTGCATTTAGCATGTCACATTCAATCATACTGAGCAGTGACTCCGAATCCTTCTTGCTAGGATGTTCTTTTAGGCACTACTTGTCTCTCGGCAATCCACAGCTATAATACTCTGCTTCAGGTGCAGATTCTGGGATGCTTCATAAATAATTTTTCTTTCTTTTTTTTTAAAAATATTTTTATTTTATTTCTAGGATAGAGAGAGACAGCGTGAACAGGGGAGGGTCAGAGAGAGAGGGAGACACAGACTCTGAAACAGGCTCCAGGCTCTGAGCTGGCAGTCAGCAGAGAGCCCGACGCGGGGCTCGAACCCACGAACCGCGAGATCATGACCTAAGCGAAAGTCGGACGCTTAACCGACTAAGCCACCCAGGCGCCCCAAGNTGAAACAGGCTCCAGGCTCTGAGCTGGCAGTCAGCACAGAGCCCGACGCGGGGCTCGAACCCACGAACCGCGAGATCATGACCTAAGCGAAAGTCGGACGCTTAACCGACTAAGCCACCCAGGCGCCCCAATAATTTTTCTTTTTTATTTAGGCTGCTAGGTGACCTACTTTCACTTCGATAGCCACCAACCAGTTCTATGTCCTACTCACTAATGACGTCTTTAATGATGTGCCTAACGCTTCAATAAACATAAGAATGCCAATATCTCTTCCAGAGAGTGACTATTTCCTTTGGGTATATGTATCCTGAAGTGAGATTGCTAGATCATATGGTAGTTCTATTTTTACTTTTTTCAGGAAATGCCACACTGTTTTCCATAATGGCCACACCAATTTATATTCCTTCTAACAGTGTACAAGGATTCCCTTTTCTCCAGATCCTTCCAACCCTTGTTATCTTTCGACTTTTTGATAATAACTGTTCTGACAGGTGTGAGGTGGTACCTCATTGTGGTTTTGATTTGCGTTTCCCTGGTGATTAGTGATGTGGAGTACATTTGCCCATACCTGTAAGCCATTTGTGTATCTTCTTTGAAAATTCTCTCTTCAGGTTCTTTGCCCATTTTTTAATTTATTTGCTATTGAGTTGTTTGAGTTCTTTGCATATTTTGGATATCAAACCTTAATAGATATATTGTTTACAAATATTTTCTCCCATTCCATAAGTTGTCTTTTCATTTATTATTTCCTTTGTTGTGCAGAAGACTTTTAATTTAATGCAGTTCCACTTGTTTTTGGTTCTGTTGCCTTTGCTTTTGTTATCAACTGCAAAAAATCATTGCTCTGGACCCATGTCAGGGAGCTTACTGACTCTGTTTTCCTCTAAAAGTTTAACCATTTCAGGCCTTACATTTAAGTATCTTTCTAGTTGGAGGTGATTTTTGTGTGTAATGTAAGATAGAGGTTGATTCTCACTCAAAAGAGAAAACACATAACCTAGAAAATACCCTGGGATGCTTAAGAATTTGAGAAGATAGAAGAACTAGTACAAATCGGTAGGAGAAAGGATAAGTTATGAAATAAATGGTGCTCGGAAAATTGTTTGGATTAAAATAAATTCAAGAAAATTTCTATTCTATGTTATATATCAAAATAAATTCTATTCCATAAGTCAGTCAAGATGCCTAGACTACAATATGAACTGATTTCTCATAATAAAAGAAACAGACACTGAATAAATAGCACTTGACTACATTAACATTAAAAAAGTCATCAGCACATTGTTTCACAACAATGCAATGTAATTATTATAAAAATTAATTTAAAAGAATAATTTTATGATCAGTGGGGAAAGCAGAATTAATGTCCCTCAAAAATATGCTTGCGTCCTGATCCCTGGGACCTGTGACTATGTTAACTCACATGGCAAAGAGACGGGTGACAAATAAAACTAAACTTGCTAACCAGCTGAATGTAGGATAAGGAGATTATCCCGTCTTACCTGGTAGAAAATATAATGACAAGTGTCCTTATATAGGGACGAAGGAGGCAGAAGAGGTCACAGTGGTAGGATAAGTGAAAGCCTGGCTTTGAAGATGGAGGAAGGGGGCCATGAGCCGAGGACTGTGGATGGCCTCCAGAAGTTGAAAAGGGCAAGGAAACGGATTCTCCCTTAATGCTTATAGAAAGGAAAACAGTCTTGCCAATCAATACCCTGCGTTTAGCCCAGTGAGGCCCATTTTGGACTTCAAAACTATACGATAATTGTTTTAAGCCACTAAGTTGGTTACAATGTATTATAGTAGCCATAGAAAACTATGATCTAGAGCAGTCTTCAAAATTATAAGAGAACACGGGGCGCCTCGGTGGCTTAGTCGGTTAAGCGTCCGACTTTCGCTTAGGTCATGATCTCGCGGTTCGTGGGTTGGAGCCCCGCGTCGGGCTCTGTGCTGACTGCCAGCTCGGAGCCTGGAGCCTGTTTCAGTCTGTGACTCCCTCTCTCTCTGACCCTCCCCTGCTCACGCTGTCTCTCTCTCTCCTAGAAATAAATTAAAAAATTAAAAAAAAATTATAAGAGAACATTATATATAATTCTATGCAAATACATTTTAAAGGGTAGTTGATTTATTAGATAAATGTAAATCATCAAAATTGACTCAAGAATAAGAAAGCCTGGCAGGTTAGAAATCAGGTACTATATTAGAAAAAGAACTTAAAATTTTATTCAAGAAAAATACTGGTCCCAAATCATTTTACTCGTGAGCTAAATCAGACCGTGAGGAAACAATGATCTCATGTTCCATAAATTGTGTTAGCTCATAAGTAAATGTAGAGAGCCTCCTTATACATTTTGCATTTTGAAAATGTGTCTTCACCCTGTTACCCTAACTATAGAATGACAATACCAACAATAAACCAAGGACTAATCTTACTTATGAATAAATGCAAAATTACAAAGAAAATATTTGTTAATTCAATCCAATAGTATCTTAATACTATACCCTGATTAATTATGGTTTATTCCAGGAGTGGATGATATTAATTAAGTGGACTTAATGTTATAAAATATATTAATATACTACATATTAATTTGTCATATAATATGTGAACATAGTTTATCTAACTGGGGGCTTAAATGAAAAAAGCTGAATGGTCACTATTCAGAATAACAATTTTATTTCAACCCAGCAATAACATTCTATGTTAGAAATGAGTCACTTCACAATAGCAATGAAACATATAATATGCATAAAATAAACATAAGAAATGTGGAGCTTTATAGAGGAAAATTTTAAAACTTTACTAGGAAACATGAAGATTTGAATAAACAAATAATGTACCACATTCCTGGATGCCTGGATGATGTAATTAATACAGTAAAGATCTTAATTCTGTTTATAAGGTACAGTGTTGTATGAGTCAAAATCCCAAGGGGATGGATTTGCTTTAATACTGATGAGAATATCTGAAATAGTTTTGAAGAGGATCCTAATGAGCATCGACTTTCCCAGTAAGAACTAAAATAGAAAGAAAAAGCCAGACGAGTATCTCAGAAAACTCGGAAAGAAATCCAAACTATACTACGTATATTTCTATATTATTAAGAATTTCAAATCAAAAGATGAATTTTGTAATATATGGAGTTAGGAAAACGGGTTGGAGAAAAATAAAATTCCAATTCTAGTTTAAAAATTAATCATAAAATCTGACTAAAATGGCAAACTACACGTAAAGGAGAAAACATAAGTAAAGCATTATGAGTTTAAAAGACTCTGGAAGGATGAGGCTGGTGGCAGAATAATTTATGTTGAAATTCCCCTATGAAAGCAGAAAGCAATTAAACTATGGAAATCTAACCCAAAGGCAGCATCTACAATGAAACAAGGTCACAGAATATCCCCATTAACTCTAAAATATAGGACAAACCACTGGCAGCTAGAGATCAATGCAGTATTAGTATCTGTGCAGGAAGTAGCAGAGGAAAAGGACATGAGAAGCCCCAAACACCTCGCTGGCACCTATCCAAAAGCTCAGGCTAGCAACTGGAGAAGATAAACCAGAACTTCATGAATTGGTTTGCACAATCCGATTACAGATAAGTACAAGGGTCCACAGATAAAACTAAAGGAGCTGGCAGGAGAGCCGAGACCATGAACTTTATGATGAATCAGCCAAATTTCCCTTCCCAGCAGGGAATAGAGAACATATTGAGCAGAACAACAAAAAAGTAAAGAAAACAATGTTCATGTAAAGGTGGAGCAAGTAGCAGAGCTAGAATACTCAAAAATTAAGCTACCATTGAAGTGCCTGGGTGACTCAGTCGGTTAAGCTTCTGACTCTTGGATACAGCTCAAGTCATGATTACTCAGTTTGTGAGTTTGAGTTGTGCTGACAGCACGGAGTGTGCTAGGGATTCTCTCTTTCTGCTCTCCCATGCGAATGCTCTCTCTCCCTGAAAATAAATAAACAAGCTTAAAAAAATTAAGCTGCAACCATCTTAACCCAATCAATATTTATAGAATACTACCCATAATAAGTATAGAATACACTTTTTTAGTGCATGTGATACATTCATTAAGACAGACCATATGTTTGGATCCAGAACTAGTCTCATTAAATTTAAAAAGTATTCAAAGATTATAAAACATATTTTCTGATTGTAAAATAATTTAGTATTCAGCTATAATGAAACATCTAGGGAAACTCCAAATATTTGGAAATTTGACAACAACTTTTAAATAATCATGAGTAAATGGAAAAACATAAAGAAAATGAAATTTTAAATTGAATGATAATGAGAAAACAATATAACAAAATATGTGGGGTGTAGCAAAAGTACTGTTTAGGGGGACACTTTAATCTTTAAATGCTATTAGAAAAGAAGAGCCCAAAACAAATGATCTAAAGTCCTACCGGAAAAAGTTAGAAAAATAAGGGCAAAATAAGCCCCAAATAAGTAGAAGTCAGGAGATAATAAAATAAAGAGCAGAAATCAATGAAATTGAAAGAAGGAGGAAAATTTAATCCAGAAATCTGATTCTTTGAAGCTATACAAAACTAATAAACCCCAAGCAAAAATAGTTACTACTTTAGTGACAGAGAGGGAAAAAAATCACCAATATTAGAAAAGAAAAATCCTAAAAATATTAGAAGAAAAATAATAAAATATTATCAATAAGTTTTATTCCAAAATTTCTATAACTTAAATGAAATGGACAAATTCTATGACAAATATAACTTGTCAAAAATAGATACAATATGAAACACAAAATCTTCCTAAGCCTATATTTACCAAAAGTAAATTTTTTAAACCAAAAGACCTTCTTGCCCAGAAAACTTCAGATTATTTCAATGGTGAATTTTGTCACAATTTAAGGAGGAAATAAAACCAATCTGACACAAAATCTTTCAGCAAATAGAGGGTTAGTAAAGAAGGAACATTCCCCAACTGATTTTTATAAAGCCAGCATAATCCAAATGTTGAAACCTGATAAGACAATACAAAAATAAAACCATTGCATGCTTATACTCCTTATAAACGTAGATGAAAAAAATCTTTAATAAAATATTAGTAAATCAAAGTCAACAATATATGGAAAAAAATCAAGTAGAGTTTATCTCAGGAATGAAAACTTCATTTTAACATTAAAACTGTCAATGCGGTTCAGCTGGATAATCGACTAAGTGAGACCAACATATTATTTTGAGATTTGCACTATATTTGACATAATATGTATTGAATTGCCAATTTCTAAAAAAGCTCTCAGAAATTCAGAATAAAAGGGTGTTTTTTTTTTTTTAACTGACACACAGCACCTACAAAACAACGTAGTCAACACCCTTATAAACATTTTTCCTATGATTGGGAACAAGACAAACATGTATTCTCATGACTTCTATTCAATACTGTACTGGCATTTTGGGCGATTGCAGTAAAGCAAGAAAAACAATAAAAGTTATAAAGTTCACAAAAAAATAAAACTCTTTCTCTTGGCTGATAAATTACTCCGTTTTATAGAACTAGAGAATTTGAAAAAGAAGTACTAGAACCAGTGAGTGAATTTTATAAGATCAAAGGATCAAGGGTTAATATACAAAACAAAACAAAACAAAAACAAAACAAAACAAACAAACCACAAATTTTTGTGTACTAGCTTACAAACCATACTTAGGGATAATTTAACAAAAGATGAACAAGACGGAAATTAGAAAGACCTAAGTAAATGAACAGATAGACATACCATGTTCGTGCATGTAAATTCTCAGTATTATTAAAATGGCCCTTTCTCTCTCTCTATTTTCATATATATATTTTTTCCAACACAATTCAAACATGAATTTTCCACAGACACTTTTAAAATATAAATTGATCAGATGCTTCTAAAAATTATATAGAAATCAACACAACCTAGAATACTCAAAACAATTTAAAAGGGGAGCAAATTTAGTGGACATAGACTGTATTATGTGTGGAATTGGCAAAAAGACAGACATAAAGAACAACAGAACAGAATAGAGAGTCTAGAAACAGACCCTATATATAGCTAATTGATTTTCAACAAGTGCTCCAGAGCAACACAGTGGGAAAAGAAAAATTTTCAAGAAGTTGTTGCTGGGCAACTGGATAAATGTATGAGGTAAAACAAATATTGAACCTTACTTTATAATATACCAAAAAACGAACAAGAAATAGATGATCGAACTAAATGTAAAAAAAAAAAAATCAAAACGTTTTCAAAAGGAAATATCTTTGGAAACTCACAAAAAACATAAGCCACAAAAGAAAAAAAAATGTTACATTGGACTTTATCCAAATTTAAAAGTTTTACTTTCTGAAAGATACCTTGAGCCAAACAAAAAGGTAAGCCACACAGTGTGGGAGAAAATATACATATCTAAAGTATATATAATACTCTTATGAGTCAGTAATGAAAAGGCCAGAAGAAGCCTAATAAAAATGGACAAAAAATTTGAATAGACACTTGTCAAGAAAAATGTACAAATGACCAAAACATTCAATGGAAGAAGATTCTCAACATCTCAGTTGGGAAAATGCAAGTTAAAACCACAATGAGATATCACTACACAGCCTAATCAGTCATGCCACAAAACAGATACAGTTTGACTTGTTCTTATTGATTTTTTGGACTTTGTTTCTTTCTTTTCCTTCTTTATAGTGGCTAAAATTTAAAAGATGGAAAATAGTGTTGGCGGAGATGTCTACAACTAGAACTCTTAGCGTACACCACTGGTAGGACTATACCATGGTGCAACTACTTGAGAAATCTGTTTAGCAGTTTCTTAAAATGTTGGACATTGGACCTATACAGGAGTGATCCCCTGTTCCTTGGCATTTACCCAAGTGAATGAAGCGTCTGTCCACAAAAAGACTAATCCAAGAATACTAAATTGCTTAAGTCATTGTAGCCCAGACCTAAAAACAATCCTAACGTCCATCAAGATATGAAGGCAGAAATGTTTTTTCTATGCATATGACAGAACTCTTCAGAAAACAAAACAAAAAACACAAAGAAACTTGCCACAAACAACAAATTGGACAAATCTTCAAATGCTAAGTGAAAAAATCTAATACACAAACAGTCCATAATACTTGTTTTTATTTATATAAAGTTCTAGAGAATGCAAACTAATTCATAATACCAAGAAACAGATCAATGAGGCCAGGAGGGAGTGATGGAATGCAAAGGGGACATCAGGAATTTTTTGATTTTGTCTTGTTTGCAATGGTGTTTTTCTGTATATCTACCATCGTCAAAATTTATGAAAGGCTGACTTGAGAGGAGCAATGAACTTCCACTGAGGGAAAAGTTAGCGTGAAGGAGCTACACTGCAGAAGAAGGAGTTATACTGCAGGAAAGGAGCCAGGAAAACAAATATCCTGACCTCACTTTGCTTCTTCTCTTGGTCTTTTGCCAGATAAAGCTCCCATTGACTCAACTGACTGGAAATCAGAGGTGATGGCAGCCCTATTGATGTAATCCATACAAATCAGTTTGCAGCAGAAGACAGCAGTGTGGAGAAGGGCTTGGAGTAGAAGTGAATGGGACAAATGGAAGATACCCAGCACTGATCATCTGCCAATGTTCAAACAAGAGTTTAGAGTTTGACTCTCCCCAAGCTTCCTTAACAGCCTCGAATACAGTATATTCTTCATAGCATTGTCCCAGTTTTTTAGCTCAACAAGTTCACATAAACCATGGTTTCTGCTAAGAGAATGCCTTTTGAACCTTTTTGAAGGACACCCTAGTGGCAGAAGGGAATCAATATTTAATCAATTTTTTTTGCCAGGATATCTGAGAGCATAGCTTGAAATTTACTGTGCATATGAAATTTCTTCCATGTTTCTTTTCAGCTAAATAATTGATGTGAGTTTTGAATTGTACTGCATAAAACCCTTGTTTGTTCTTATACCGAAATTAATTACACAAAGGAAAAAAGAAAACCAAAAAAAGATCCTAACTTTTTAAGATAGTCTTTTCAGATCTGTCAATTTCCAATAATAAAGTAAAAATAAGATCATGCTTTTTTTCTTGAATCTATATAATGTTAGAAGCCATAAATATTACATCTTCACATTCCTATCTATCATCCTCTGCCGTGGCTGATACTACTTTTCAGTAAAACTCTGCTCAGTGAGGTTCTGGTATTCCTTAAGATGGTATCGCTTGTTAAATAAGACACGAAAGGTATTGCATTCCCCTCTTAGAGACTTAACAATCCACATCTAAATATTAGAAACTGAGGAATTCTGTAATTAAAAACATGCCTGTTGTTTTTTAAAATAGCCAAATGTTTTTCAGATTCATTTGACCATGGAATTCCTTTCTGTTGAACGCCTATTCACATCTCACAGAGCACTAAATACAATTGATAAATGTCACTCTAGGCTAAGGAAGAACAAGTAATAAGCCACCTCAAATGTGTATATTTACGTATGAGTTCTTCAGATGAAGATCAACTCTGTTTCTTTTGGGGCTGATGTCCATTACCTAAACCCTTTAGGAGCCTCTTCTCTATGTTCCCTGAGTCTTTGTTTATATCCCCTTCATGTGTAGACCTCCTGGTGCCTAGTGATGTTTGGCACATAAAGGGCACTTTATGACTATGCCGAATTTGAAACACATTAAGCCCATTAGCTAATTTTTATTTTCTTCAAGTCTCTCCCAGCATCTTTTAAAAGAGAGACCATTATTTACTCATTAAATACAAACATTTCTGTTTGATATTAGGATTTGGGGAGGGGGGAGTTGATGGTAAAAAGAAAACTTACAATGTTTTGTATGTACTTTAATGTATAGAATTGGATGCAATTGACCAAATACAAGCAAAAGGGCCTGATTCTTGGGAACTATACCTTGAGATTATTTTATTCCTTTGTTAATCTTGCCTATAAGGATTGCAAAGACAGAGATCAAATTACAGCCAATATTTCAGGTCACACAGTGACATCTAGTGTGTGCAGGAGACAGTATGTTATATTCACATATCTAAGTGACTCTCAAAAGAATTTTTCTTCTTTTTTTAGTATTTAATGATTTTACCCTAAAGTTGTAAAATAAAGGTAGTGATAACTTTTGCTTGTATGTAGGAATTTGAAACTGTTGTAAATAGTTAGATTAATGTACAGGCAGTACAGAAGAAGCATGGATAAACTATTTAAAGACATTTTGCAAATAAATTGAGTAGATGGAATTGCTTAAAAGCATTGTTATGGAAGGTCATTTAATTGTTAACACATAAATAAAAGGTATCAAATTTCAGCAAGCAACATTTAACTCTGTGTGTGTGAGTGAGAGAGAGAGAGAGAGAGAGAGTTCTTTGTTTAGCTAACAGATTGGCTAACTTTGATTAATTACAACTATTTTCTTCCTCTCTCAGATTAGCTTATAATATACAAAGCTTTAGTCCCTAAGAGATTCTCAGAATTGACTAGGAAAAGGCCTTTCTTTTTTTTTCTCTGTAGATTATAAAGTTTTTCAAGAAGTCCAACTTCATTTCATTAGGATTTGGGGGAGCGGGGAGAGGGGAAGAGGAGATAGCGTTCTGCTCGTAATTTAAAATGTTTGGTATAGAAACAACTGAATTTGGACTTTAGTGAATCTTATTTTACTATTAAATATATTTTGATTTCATTTTCACCTTGCATTACGTTGTTTGACTTTACTTATCTGATAAATGTTTTGGTACCCATGCTAGGATTTATCTCTCAGAAGCTGTGGCCCTTTAAGTTCTCAGGGAATTTAGAAAAGAGAGTATTTAAATGCAAGTAGAAATGTTCCAGCCCAAAGGTGAGTCAGAGAATGCAGATCTCACAGTGATTTATTTTAAGCCACAGTATTGCAATATCATTTTTAGTCTTGTCCCAATTTCATTTCCCCACCCAAATCATAGTGATAATCCCAATGAAAGGAGCCAGGGGAAAGGTTTCTGAGGTATACATTGTTTCCAAAAGCCTTATCTGGTCCTTTGATGTTATGTTATTTCTAATAGCAACACACATGCTATGGCCAGAAGCCTTAGCTCCTCAGTTTGACTTAGATTCAGCAAGTGACTCTGGAGTACCTAGGACATGCCAAGAACCATGCTTAAGGGTCCTGTCCTCAAGGGGTTTGTGTTTTGAGGAGACTAACAACAAACATATATAAAATAAAAGTGGATAATACTGAGTACAGGTTGAGGAAGTATTATTTTACATAGGTTGGCCAAGGGAAGACCTTGGTGATGAGATGACATTTGAGTGAGTCAGGGGAGATACCTGAGAGAAAGAAGAATGTTCTAGGCAGATGGAATGCCAAGTACAAAAGCAAGAGTGTATCTGGCATGCACAGAGAACAATACAATACCTGAGGTGGTAGAGTGGAAACAGAATGGAAGGAGATGAGGTCAACATAGTAGCACGGAGTCTTATACAGGAAGTTCAAGTGATTGTCGCTATTGGACAGTACTAAGCAGGTGTGACATGATCTAAATAATGCTGTAAAAGGATTTCTCTGCTGTCTTTGGTGAAGACTAGCAGCAAGAAGACCAGTTAGGAATTATGGTAATAATGCAGAGAAAAAAGGTAAGGGCTCAAATTAGAGCTTAACATCGAAGGTGGTGAGATAAGTGGGCACCTGGGTGACTCAGTCGGTTAAGCATCCAACTTAGGCTCAGGTTATGATCTCACGGTTTGTGGGTTCGAGCCCCGCGTTGGGCTCTGTGCTGACAGCCAGCTCAGAGCCTCGAGCCTGTTTCAGATTCTGTATCTCCCTCTCTCTCTGATCCTCCCCTGCTCACGCTGTGTGTGTGTGTGTGTGTGTGTGTGTGTGTGTGTCTCAGAAATAAATAAAAGCATTAAATTTTTTTTTAAAAAGCTACAAAAAACAAACAAAAAAAAAGGAGACAGGATAAGATGGTCTTCTACCAGTCTGAAAGTGGTGAGAGTGAGATAAGCAATCAGATTCTGGATTTATTTTGAAACAGAATTGGCTGAGTGTTTGTAGATGAGACACAAAAGAGAGTCATATGCGAAGACCCCAAGATAACATTTACTCTGTGTGGGCACATGTAGCTGGCAGAATAGAATTGTTAGTGACCTAGTAGGGGATGAAAGCAGAGGACATGTTAACTCTGGAAACTGTGTTATACATCCCAAAGCAGGTGGCAACAGGGAGTTACAAATGGAATTCCAGAGTTCAGGAGAAAGGTTGAGGCTGAAGCTATACATTTAGAAGACCCCAGGTGTTGCAAGATCTGAAGTTGAGGTTGGATAGGATCACCTACAGAAGTGCAGATGGAAAATATTCAAGGTCTGAGACAAGCCCTCGGCCCTCCTGTGTTTACAGTAGTGCTTTTCATCCTGGCTGCACATTAGAATCACCTGGGGACATTTAACAAAATTGCCTAAACCTTTCACCCTGCCTCCAGAGATTCTGATTTAATTAGTCTAGTTGAGACCTTGGCATGAATACATTTTAAAAGCTCACTAGATGATTCTTCTTTTGTTGAAGGATAATTGACACAGCGTTTCAGGTATACAACATAGTGATTTGACACGTTTATACGGAATGCCCTGCACACCACAAGTGTAGCCCCATTTGTCGATGTACAGCACTATTACAATACCATTGACTGTCTTCCCCATGCTGTGATGTATTCATCCCATTACTGGAAGCCTGTACCTCCCTCTCCCCTTCCCCTGTTTGGCCCATCTCCCAGCCCCTCCCCTCTGGTGACCAACAATTTTTTCTCTGTATTTACAGACGTTTCTGCTTGCTTCTTCTTCTTCTTCTTCTTTTTTTTTTTTTTTTTAGATTGCACATCTAAGTGAAATCATGTGGTATTTCATAGGGTCTTTCATATGGTCCTTTTCTGACATATTTCTCATAGCATAATACCTTCCAGGTTCATCTGTGTTGTTGCAAATGGCAACAGGTGTTTCCTATATGCTTCCAGAATTGAAAAGCACTGGTCTAGAAGCGGTAGGGGGTGGAGTGTATCAGCAAAGGAAGCAGAAGCCGTGCGGTCAGTGAGGCAAGATGCAAACAAGAAACCTGTATTTCAGATTTCAACTGAAGAAAATGTTTCAAGCAGGAGAGGGTGACCAGTCAAATACTGGGGAAGAGAGAGAATTGGCCACTGTAGTTTGTAGCAACATGGAGGACGCTACCAGACAAAAGCAGACTCATCTGGGAGGTAAGGATAAAAGCTCTACTTTTCATTCTCTTTCTCTTTCTCCCCCACACCCTTCTCTCTTTCTCCTTTCTCTTTTCATAGGAGCTGTTAAAGTATGTTTGCATGCTCATGGGGATAATCTAGCAGAAAGAAATAAATTGGTGAGGGAGGGTAAAAGGAGAAATTTCTAAAAAAAAAAAAATGTCCTTGAGTGTCAAGGAGGGACTTTTGTAGTTCTTTTGTTTCAGTGAAATTGAAAGCCAAAGAGGAGAATGTGCTCAATGTCTGAGGCAAGAGAATATCCTCATTCTCGGAGAAAGGGAAAATGAATGGACTGCGACTACATGAAATCAGTGGTCATGAAATTAAATACAAGCCAGTTAGCACGGCTGTATATTTTTCACCAGCTACTGTCACCTGTGTGAGTAGAAGTTCAGAGTAAATGAAATGAGTAAGAGAGTTGATTTTTACCAAGGCTGGATTCATACTAAATACATATGACAGAACTGAGTAGGAGCATAAGTTTTCTCAGTAAATACAAGTGTTTATAAATTTGAACTCTATAATGTCACAGTGGTAACAGAAGCTAAGACAGGAAGGGGGTGGAGGGGCAGGGATAGGTGGTCAGATAAAATACATCAGGTCCCAATGGGGTTGAAGAGTAATCGGAGTCTGAGTACTGAAATTAGAGTGCTGAAAAGAAACTTTGTGTTTCTTTTGCTTGAATGTGAAATTTTGAAGGAGATGCAAAATCAATTGCTTGATATAATCTATATTTTTAAAATTTTAAACTTAAAAAATATAAAGGAATGTTAATTCATGGAAAACTGAAAGGAGATGCAGTTATTCATAATCTCTGTGTGACCTAATACATGAGACGGTGAGACCTGGTGGGGACTATGTTCGAGGGATGGAGGAATTGAACTGAAAGTCCAGGGAATCATAAAGATTATAAGGATCCTGGAACCAGTTAAACATGGTTAAGTGATGTTTGAGGACAGTATTCCTCTCCAATGACAGTGACCCACGGGCTCAGTCATTA